CTTCTGGGGAAATGTAATGACTGAATGTAGCCACTAGATGGAGGTATTAACCAGTGAATCATTTCCTGGATAGTCGCTCCTGAATGTGACTTGAACTGATTCCAGTGAAAAGTCTTTGATGGGCTGAAACTAAAGCAGCTTTAACTCCAAATGAATGGAGCTGAATCTTCATCGTGTCTTCAGCTTGTCTGGTCCAGACGGAGCTGCTCTTCCTTCCAGTCAGAGATTGACACTGAACATGAGGATCATTAATGAACATTTAACAGGTGAAGATCAATTAATGCACTTTAATGAGTCATATATGGATTTAAATACATTAATTAACATTCATCATCATTTTTAGTTTGACTCGGAGCCTAATTGATCTAAAAACTTTGACAACATCCTTTTCTATTTGAAATTAATTAGAAAGTTAAGAATATTTGTGATAAATTAGGGGATCATGTGTTTTGGTCTATTTAAGTGCATTCATCCCTAAAAAAAAATGAAAAAGACAATATTTTATTTAAAGTGAAGCAGCTTACTTTCACAATGAGTAAATTATTACATTTTATCAAAAAATACGGGGCTAATATTTAATTTCAGAGGCATAAAAGGAAAACATGAATAAGTCATATGAGCATTAAATCCATGAGTATCAGTAAAGTCCAGCAGACATAAAGTCAAACACACGTGTCTATAAAGCTCATGTGTGTTTCCTGTGTTTCAGACAGACCTTCTTCTGGAGAGTCTCTGATCCAACCTGAACCTCACATTATCTGGTATCATGGACCACAGTCACAGCAGGGCTGGTGCCCTCTAGTGGCCACCGGCGGTAACTACACTAACGTCAAGTCAGCCACATTACAGGCAGCCTACACTTCCTGGTATCTCTTTCAAAATAAAACCCATATGAGCGTTCGCATTTATTAAAGCATTACGAAGCGATTTTGGGGAAACTCAGAGTGACCTCCGGTGGACGCTGATCTGTAATCAGCGCTGCTTAGCTTCTCCACTTCCTCTGAATGTTTAGTTGTAATCTGAGTAAAGTTCAAACAGGAAATGAATCCACATTGTAGCTCAATACGAACCTCCAGCAGCATCCATGAGCGGCAGGGTTAGCCGAGCTAGCAGCAGTGCTAACGAGCTTCTCCACTGGCACAGACAGCTTCAAAATAAATCTCCTCGTGTCTCTTCCAGTTCACTCTGCTGGATGGTTTGACTGTCGTCGTGTCAAACAGACAGTTTGGACAATTGAAGGAGACTCAGATGTTCCAACATAAACATCCAGATGGAGATAAAAGAGCCGTTCAGAGGGTTTTCACAGATGTTGAAGAAGCAGCTGCAGCTCAGTTCCTGACTTCTTCTGAACTGTCTGAACGTCTTCTTACCTGGACAGGTGTCTGCATCTCAGTGACACATGGAACAGATCAGGTGACATCTTCTTCCTGGATGAGTTTATTTTGATGATCATTACTTATGTTTTATTTAAAATGTCTTAAATATTGCAGCAGGTTGCAGCTGGATGTCTTTGACTAACGAACAGTTCATGTCTGATGGAGTCTCATGTGTTGATGATCCATCTCATTTTAAATGAGTCACACAATAAATGCTAAAGCGAAGCTTTGAAAAACGGTCCTGCAGTTAGACGTGAACTCCAGGTTCCTCCTGGTTTACCTGCTTTCTGTATTTAATGAGCATCAAGGTGAGAAGTAACAGGAAGTCAGATCCTCCAGACCAACATCTATGTCCACAAAGTGCTTCTGAAAATGAACAATATGCTCAAATTAAAACGTGTTTTCTGAGTTTCATTTAAAGAACCACTTTAAATGTGATTTTAATCCCAGATTTAGTCTCATGATGGATCATTATGTCTCAGTGATGCGTTCAGGGACCATGTGAACGTTGTAAATGTGAGGATTCTTCCTGTTTGTACAGTTTGTGGCTCATAAATGTCATTGTGGTGATTAAAGATCACTTATGGTGGGTTTATAGTAACTTTATTACAACTTTTTAAAAATTATTATTATATTAGAACTTTGCTGTTTAATATTCAGGCTGCAGGTGTCTCAGTGGTTAGCACCGTTAGCGCCTCACAGCTAGAAGGTCGCCGGTTGGCGTCCCGGTGAGGACACCCGGGATCTTCCTGCGTGGAGTCTCCATGTTCTCCCCGTGCAGCGTGGGTTCTCTCCGGGTTCTCCGGCTTCCTCCCACAGTCCAGAAACATGCTGAGGTTAATTGGTGATTGTAAATTGTCCGTAGGTGTGAATGTGAGTGTGCTTGGTTGTCTGTCTCTAAGTGTAGCCCTGTGATAGACTGGTTACCTGTCCAGGTGAACCTGCCTTCACCCTGAGTCAGCTGGGATAGGCTCCACCCCCTAGTGAGGATGAAGGTGTAGAGATGATGGATGGTTAATATTCTACATTTCTTATTCGTTTGCTGGTACCTTTAATTGTCCGCTTCATGTTCCTGACAGTTTATTATTCATGTTGTTGATGGTTTCGTGTTCCAGCAGATGGCGCCGGTGAATGAATGAGGCGTGTGTGTGTGACCCGCTGTCAGATACAGAACCAGAACAGGAACATGTGGAAGACGGCAAGGTGACAAGAAAGAAGTGCAGCAGAACCAGCAGTTATCAAAGATCTCCTTCATGGTTTAATAGTAGACACTGTGCCACAAAAATGTCACGTCCGCAGCCACAAATCACGTGCCGAGATTGGACTAATTCCAGCGAGTTGTCGGATCATTCGCTTCACTTGCTTCTCTACACAATTTGCAAATCACTTCTTACATGTATGTATAAATATATACAGTTTATAGATGATTCTGGAGCTGGGATGTGATTTCGTTTCTCTCTCTGTTGTGTTTGTGCTGTTGGCAGAGAAATACACGGCTGACGTCTCCCAATGCAGCACACGCTTATAGCATGACGAGGACCAGCAGAGCACACGGAGCCGAACACGCGTGGAGGAATGTTGCTGAGGGGAACCGAAGGCATCGACGTCACGAGATCCGCTGCCACGAAGGCACTGCAACATCGAGTTCAGGGGCGACGCTGTGGAGTCGGAGCAGAACGTGTGGAGCCTGAAGTCCACAGGAAGTGAGATCACGTCTAACATGCATGATGCTGGTTAAGCATGTGCTTCATTTGAAGGGTTACCAATTGTAGGAGGCCGAGCTCACGCAGGAACTCTGGGCCGGGCCAAAGTCAAGAGCAGGACGACAAAAGCAAACGGAGGCGGGCTTCACAGGCTAGCCAGCAGGAGGCCCGGTGCTGCTCTTACCGTCCTGCTGCTCACTTTGCAGGCTGGGGCCGGTCTGTCCCTGTGGAGCTTCGCGGTGACGTTGGTGGGTTCTGGGCTCGGGGCGGGTTCGGGTCGGGTCGGGCCGGTTCCGGGGCCTCAGCAGCAGCCTCCGGACGAGGTGTTGACCGGCTTGCTCTGGATCTTGACGTTGGACTTCTCGGAGGCGCCGGCCGTGGCCCCGGGGCCCATCCTCTTCTTGATCTCGGCCGCCATGGTCATGAAGGCCTGCTCCACGTTGGTGGCGCTCTTGGCGCTCGTCTCCAGGAAGGGAATCCCCAGGTTGTCGGCAAACTCCTGGTGAGGACAGACACACATAACATGGAGGCAGCAAATACGACAGACACTGACCTACAGAGAAAACAGTGCATCAGTGGACCGAGTCCTGACGTTCATCGATGTCTGCTCACACTGCCGTGGTCACAGCTCCACAGCGTCCACACACCTTCTACTCGTTCTACTTTACAGAAGCTTGAGCTTCTCGTAGGTGTCGGACGGCGGCAGGAAGACGGAGGCTTCAGTCTGAAAATGATTTCAGGCCTGAAAAAAGCCGATCCTGAGCTGCAGAAGGTTGACGTTCACTGACCTGCTGAAACAGGTCCTCTGAGGAGCTGTTCGTCCTCCTGGTTCAGCTCGGGTCCGTTTCCTACCAGCAGCTCTGAGACACAACGGACTTCAGGGTTCTTTTAGTTTTGAAAGCTGTGACACTCAGAACGTCTGTGAACTTTAATGTCCTGTCGCTCTTCAGCTGGTAAGTGGGAGAAACATCCTGAGAGCAGATCACAGCTAAACCTCTTCTTAAACCTTATTCCAGCTAACGTTCGGTGACGTTGTGGGAACGTTCCCTGCTGAATGCTGATGGTTTTCTGTAGCTCCTGACTTAAATATTTAGTAATTCTGTGTTTTAGGAATGCCCTGCTCCTGTTCTACGCCTTCTGGGGATGGTTTAATGAGTCGTCTTCCTGCTCAGCTCGTTTCTGTCGCTGCCTGACTCATGACATGTTCGGCACTTTGGCAAACTCTTGCTTTAAACACCAGAGCAGACCTCCACTGAACTGGTCTGTGGTCAGACGCTGTCCTGCTGCGCCTCTGACTCTGCTGCTAACATCAGTAGACGATGCGTCGGCGCCACAGCAGCAACAGAGCACGCAACGCAACGTTAATGTTCAGCAAGTAAATGCTGTTAAACATTCAACCACCTGAATATGACCCGATAAGACAGCAGGAGGACATGAGGTCAGTAAAGGTATCGTAGAACAGCTGCAGGACCTGATTGTTCCAGCAGGGGGAGCCTCTCACCGTTTAGGTCTGTGGAGACCAGAAGAGGCGTCACTCCAGAGCTCAGGGGTTTAAGACCAACTGGATCTGAGCTGATTTTACAGCTCATGTCCACACTAACGATAACCTGAAGACATCCACAGCGCTCCGGTACCGATTATGGATTGATGATGCTGCTCCTCGTGGACGCAGCGTGCATCTCTTACCTTCGCCGTGGTGTAATCGACGACCTTCTTCGTCGTGAGGTCACACTTGTTGCCGACCAGCAGCTTGTTGACGTTCTCGCTGGCGTAGCGGTCGATCTCCTGCAGCCACTGCTTGACGTTGTTGAAGGACTCCTGAGGACAGAAACAGTTCAGACACGTCACCGGGAACGGGCCGACTCAGAAACCTGCCGAAACACCGGCACACGCTGTCACTGGGTTTAGCCTCGTGGTCGACTCGAGCCGAGCACGCGATCAAACGCCTCCTGCTGCAGGCTGATGAAGCCGCGGCATGAACACGAACCTGATGTGCAATCTGTCGTGTTAACACTGGGTGTCACTGTTTCATCCTCGTGTAGTTTCCAGCATTACTTCTACTGTTCTGGCCGGGTTTCAGCTGCTGCATCATATTTAGTCACGTTCTGCACTCAAACACTTCATTTCTGACTGTCTGACGTCAGTGTTTTTCTGTACACGATAAGAGTTTGATGCTGAATGTGCGGCACTGACAGGCTCTGGTGTGAACACATGAACAAACAGTTTAAAGGGCTTCATAGACGTCTGCACTTGTCTCACTGGATTATTACATGAACATGTAAAAACACGTTTCTGCCTCGTCATCCTTTACTCGTTGATGCTGTGAGTCAATAAACTCACGTTAGACCTCTGAACCGTTAAACCCACCAGCAGGTTTGAAAGACATGATGCCTTTAAAATAATCCAAAAATGCCAAGACGCCACCGTTTATCTGGCAAGAAGTGTAAAAACGGATCTGTAACTTGCAGACGGTTGATGCTCTGTCAGAACCTCTGAGCTTGAACTAGATTCAGGAAAACCCCAAAGTCCTCCAGGACCGACTCAGCTGAGGATCTGGAGGGTTTTCAGGTGAGCTGCAGGCAGCGTTTTCAAGCAAAATCTTGAGACGTCTTAATATCAGAGCATTTTATATTTATTGTTGGAATAAAAACGGACCGTTTAAACCGCCCTCCTGTTCGGTCTTGGCTGTAACGCTAGTGTTTTAGGTGTACACACTGACTGAATGAGCCGACGTCGTTCAGTGGTCGTGTTCCTGTCAGACTGACGACTCGTCAGGTTGCTTTAACGTTTACTACGGATCCATCTGATCTGATCTCTGGTGAGCGGAGCCTCCCTTTTATTCCAGGTGTTGGTAACATCTGTGGACACCTGGAGACATTTTAGACCATTTTTATAAAGTAAAGCCTTTTTTTTCTTTTTTTGTGATGATTGCCGTCTCAGGAGAAGGAACTCTGTATTTCTGATTCATGACTCCTGCACGTTGTCTACCTCGCAAACATCTAACTACTGTTGATGAAACACCGCAAATAAACAGGTTGTTGAAAGTTAGACAGACGGTTAGAAACTCCCACACCCCTTCTGCACCCAGAAGAACCAGGTGCTGGTTCCAGAGCTGAGCTGGTTCACATCTGGTACCTCCTAAGAACCTGGTTGCTTCTCCATCAGCCAGGAGCCCAGTCAGAACCGTACGTCACTGCATACGGAGCCGTTTACCGAACAGCGCTGGCGCCACACAGAGTCCACACAGGACTCCAGACGGACTTTGGTACCGGTGTGACCCACTTTCTCATCTGGTCTCACTTCCCACCTGGTCACAGGAGAAACATCTGACCTGCGGAACATGTTCTTATCCATAGACGCTACAGTTTACGATGTTCCCTGAACGCCCCACATAGCAGGCTGCGCTAGCTGCTGCTGGTGGCCGCGGTGCTCAGACCGGTGTGAGACCAGAGATGACTTTAACAGAGTGAACCAGGAGGTTCTGGTGTCACATCTGTCCAGGATGAAACCCAGTGATCTGTTCTCAAGAGCTATAGCTGCTCCGTTTGTCACCAGAACACCTCATTTCTAAGCTAAATACTGAAGTTCTATCAGTCCTGTTGCTGGGACACAGTTGGACCGGGTTTCAAGTTTGTGCAGAACCTCCGTGTGTCCCGGGACTCATTCAGTACATCTGTGATCAGACCAGAGACGTCCTGGTGAAGAACCACACAAATCACCTCTTGTGTGTCCCATCCATCGGTCTCGGTGGTCTCGGTGGTCTCGGTGGTCCCGATAGCCCCGCCCCCAGCCCCTGATGGACTCGGTGCTGAGCTCTGGACCAGCAGAGAGGTGGTGCCTGCTAAGGACCAGTTCTGAGAACCTGGGGCCGGTGCTTAGGCGGTGGAAACACAAAGAACTGGTGCTGAGTCAGGCTCTGGCTCCAAACCAGACCTGGAACCGGTTTGTTCTGGTTCCACAGAGCTGCAGGACCGAAACATCCCTCAACAGGCTTTTTGAAGTGGCACCTGTACCTGAGGAAGAGGACTCACCTGATCCGTGACGTCGTACACCACGATGATGCCGTGAGCTCCTCGGTAGTAGCTGGACGTGATGGTGCGGAAGCGCTCCTGACCGGCCGTGTCCCACTGCAGACGCAAAGCACAGCTCATCAACACAAACCGCAACCAATCAGCTCTGCTCATCTGCTCACCGTCCAATCAGCCGCCTCCTTACAATCTGCAGCTTTATGGTCTTCCCGTCCAGCTCGATGGTCCTGATCTTGAAGTCCACGCCGATGGTGCTGATGTAGCTCTCTGTGTACGTGTCATCCTGGGATAAAGCACACAGGTGACAGGTGAGTGAGACACCTGCAGGTCGTCAGCCAATCGCAGCGCCGCTGACTGTGATGCAACACTTACTGCAAACCGGAGGAGGAGACAAGACTTTCCGACGCCAGAATCACCGATCAGGAGCAGCTTGAATAAATAGTCACTGAGGACAGAAAACAGGGTTTTTACTCCATCAGCAGCTGAGAGGCACCAAATCAGTCTTCAGACATTTTACAGGGAAACAAAAATAATAATCTGCTGCTTCTTCAAACAAAAAAACCCAAAACCTCCAACAAATTAATCAGAAAATATGTTTCCAATGAGGCCTATATTTAGACATACATGCTCTACGACCTCAGCTGCATCATTCATCGTTAACGGTTTCATGTTTTACTAATTCGCATTTCTTGATCTGATCTTTGCTGAACTCGTCCCAGGCTCGTTCACCTTCTGCTTCTCTGTGTCTTTGCTAGACTACGCTGTACATTAGGTTTCCATCAAAGCATGTTGATCCTGTGACTGATTATCAGACGTATTCGTTGAAGGAGTTTGTGTTGTTCTGTGTGTGAGCAGAAGCTGTGCTGCTGCGTTGTTCTGACTCAGTTGGCATCAATAAATCCTGTTCTGATCCGCGCTGATTGTCACGTCGAGTCATTAGAAACACAGTCAGTTTAAAATAACATGAAACAGACGTTCAGACATGAAAGCGCTGGTTTCAGGACAACAGCTGATGAATCCTCCAGCGGGAAACAGAGGAATCACAATACGATCAATAATCTCCTGTCAGCTGATCAAACTCTGGCAGTAAAACACGAAGACCTGAAGTCACTTCATAGAGAAAGGCTGCGGCTGAAAGGATTCATTGATTATTCTCCTGATGATCAGCTCATTGATAGATCAGCTGATCCACAGAAGTTAAACAGGAACTACGGTGAATAAACTTCAATCACTGAACTGATATTTAAAGCAAAAAACTTACAGGATTAGCAGCTTGTCTTTGCTGTTACCGGATTTTCTGTCTGGTTTTGGACCGTTAGTGATCAATAAACACTCTGGCTGTTTTAAACATGTTGTTTAAATGACTTTCCTTAATTGAAACATCAATGAGCAAACTGATCCATAACTCAGACTGTTGGTGTTGGTGTGACCAACCAGCTCCACGACGCCATGTTTGTGGAGGTTACATGACACCGAGCTCAGACTAAAGTGATCGTCACTCAGCCCGTCTACACCTGTCTGCTTCTACCTGAGTCAGAATGTGTAAATACACTCAAATCCAAATCCGTGGCCACAGCACAGCTCTGCCTTTATGAAACTTTAATGTTTCTTTAACTGAATAATCGTGCCCAATGGACTGCTTGTAGTTCGCGGCGTATTCAGGGATGATATTTACCGACTACGGGCAGAACTATTGTCTTGTTTCTGATGTTCACCTGTGTGTCCGCTTGGTGGAACGCTCTGGTGTGCATCTGGGGGCTGAACATGGTTTACTGATGGGATTTATGTCAGCATTAAAAATCATCTTTCCTGCAACTATGGTGTGGCCTTTAATCTTTAAACTACAAACGTCATGAAGGACATCGAGCTTTCTGTTGCTTTTAGATAGATAGATAGATAGATAGATACTTTATTCATCTCCAAGAGAAATTTACAGTTTTATATGGCTTCAGTCACAACGTGAACGCTGCAGCTGGAAACACACCAGCACCACGGCAGCTGTCCGTA